AAACTAAAGATGAAACAACAACATGCGTCACGAGGAAACACTGATGTGGGCACGTCTGCTACGCTTCCTCTACATTGTAGGAAAATGTCATATATTTTCCTATATGTACTTTTTTACCTTTTCATTTTCAATAAAACCTCAGTGAAAAGAAACTTACTCAAAGAATTAATCGATAAAAGACTTTAAGACTTGACAAAGTTAAACATCAAGCCAGACTTCTCCACACAAAGAAGTCGATCTCACTATTCAAGCCCGTTTTCGTGCTACTTTTGATCGCTGCACTAAGCGTGCTCACGTGTACTTAATCTTTTCACCTCATTTCACAAAACACTTTTTAAAATTTTTTTCTTCTTCAAGCTCTCAAACAAACCAGCCCCAGTGTTTACCCACAAACCTTTTCATATAGAGTCAAACGCACTCTTCAATTTCAAAGTCTCGCAGATAAGAATCACAAATAGCTCACTTCCCCTCGCAGCCCGAATGAGCGTCACGCTTCAATCAGAAACATCCGAACGAAGGCAACTTCTGTTCTTTTTCTCCTCCAGACAAAACACGCAGTAAACTGTTCTCGTCCTCTGAGCAGACAACAGTGACTTTAAAGCGTCTGTACATCCTGACAGATGTTGGTGTGCGCTGCCTACTGCTGCTAAAAATACAAGCTGTTGGCATGTAACCTTTTTAATTCATCCTACAAGTGGATTTAAAGCCATTTGACCTCTTTAACGCTTGATATTGGTCATGACTTTCTTTAAAATGACAAAAATATCCTCCACACAACGGGAATATATTCCGTATGTGCTGGTTCCAACGTTGCGCTGGTGCTCCGTGGCGAAATCTTCAAAGTCGAGTGTTTTTTCTTTTTTTTTTTTATGGCCGCACTGTTACATCAGATGCAAATATTCTCGCTGTCTTGTGCATCATTTATGCACGTGTCTACAAAATTTAAGCTGACACGTCGGGTATCCTTGGAAACTTTGGGATCTCCAGCGGAATTTGAAATAATCACGAGTGGACGTGAGTTTGTAAACACGGGTCCACCGGTGAATCCGGCAGTTTGAAAAAGTTAAAATTTTAAAAGAAGGTGGCCAAACACATCATGAGAGAAAAATGACATGGGTAATATGTAGCAGGAAATAAACAAAAACAAAAAACCTTGTTAGGATGATTTGACCAGATATCTCTAAAAAGTGTTACTACCAGGATCACTGTGCATCCGTGGCATTTGTTCAAGCCTCATACTGACTCATCTTGGCCTGAATCCTACTAGGAAATTGTTACTGGGCTACAGCGGTGAAAAAACATCCACACTCTCCTTCCCTCCTGAGCAGGAACAGCCATAATATCAGTGCAGCTACAAGGCAATGAAATGGGTTTGCTGAAAAACTCCATTTAGATTCAAGGTTACTACAGCGGCTGGCATAGGTAAGTATTTTGGGATGGTGGAGTGTTTTCCGTTTGAAAGAGTGAAAGAAAACAAAAAAGACACCATCACAGTGAAGTCCTCGCATTAGAAAACACTGAAGTTAACCCAAACCGAGCTCCATTGATTAGACAGAAGGTCCTGCAGTCAATGATCTATTGTGTCGAGTCAGTTTGTCGAACAAAGGTCAATGATGCGTTGTCGATTGGTAAGAATGAGCACAATGAGGACGTTTGCTTTTTAGTGGATGTTTAATGTCACAGTCAAACTCTTAACTCTGAACACTTCATGCGTTCTTAACCCTCTCATACCTAAAACCCAACAGCAGGTTTGAAAGGCATGTCACCTTCAATAAATCACCAAAATTACACCTTTTATTCCAGCCATAGATTGTAAAAACAGATAAAATCAACCATTTTTGAACTAATAAAGTGCAACTCTGTCGGCAAAAATAACCAAATCTAAGCTCAAAGCTGTGCTATGCAGTCCAAAGGACTTTATTCTACATGTCTCTGTTTAAAATTCACCAAAAACAAAGAGTTCAAACTAAACGGATTCTGTGAAAAACAAGAAATTTCATGAGTGACTGAGCTGTAACCGAAAGTTGTGTGACAACAATTCAGGAAGGTTTTAGTTTAAATGCAGGTTGTGGTTCTACAGAGCAGAGAGGAGACAAGTATGGAAACCAAGTATCTAATATCTAGTAAAGTATTTATAGATATAAAATAAGAGATTAGCACAACTGTGTGCACTTGAAAAAAAAAATCTAAATGAAGTCCAACCTATTGTTGTTTCTTTCTTTATGATCATTATAACTGTTAAACTGCACAGAGGACATTTCTGAGCTTTCTACTGTTTCCATGTCTGTGGTAAAGTAATTATTGCAGATTGATGTTAAGAAATGCGTCGTTACCAGTGGGCCAATGTGGAAATGTTATTACAGACCTTGGATTTTAAACCAAGTATTAACAGGCTTAAATGTAACAGACATTCATTTATATATGCCAAAGTCCTGCATTCCAGCATTAAGAAAGAAGGTCATGGAACCAGTGTTGACTGTCGGCAGGTAATCCTCTTTGGCTTCTATCAGAGTCATTACAGCTGCAAAAAGTCTTTGTGTCTTCATGCCTTTTTGGGGACCTGTTTGAAATAACTGATTCTGTCATTGTGAATATGCGCAAAAAATCTTTGCAAATGGTCTCACATAGCCAGACTCATCTCTACAGCTCTGTGACACTGGTCTGGCTGCATCTTATTTTCATTATGCTATCGGGGGAAAAACACTCAGGCTTGTTTGTATTTCTTTACACCAATCACAATCGTTGTAGGAGACACTGAGGCCAGGATGCAGTGATGATGCCCCTACAAAATAACAATGTGGGGAGTTGTTTTGCTGGGACGTTTGCACACAGGGAAGAGAGCAATGGTTAATTTCCTAAAAGACCCAAGCTGGCCTGCCTTATTGTGTGACTGAAATCTTTTAGTGTGTCAGTCGCTGCTCGGACGTTGTTGTTGGTTCTCGTAGTGAGTGTGATGTTGAAAACAGTAAGATGCAAATACCAGAAAGCTGCATGAAAGCTGGATGGAAGACTTTTACCCAAAGTCTACATCCGGTGTGACAGAATACATAAACTGCAAAAACTATTTTATTTTGCATTCACACTCTGATTACTACATTTGAAGGCAACTGCAAGGTCAGCGAGCACAATGACTTAGAAAGGAGAGAAGAGCGAGGGAAATGTCGAAAGATGTTTTTGATTAGGTTCGAAGAAAATCGTTTAGAGGCAGCAGAGGAAATTAAACTTCAATTTCTCATAGTATTTTTAAATGAATGTTGGCTAAATTGATTGATATCAAAGTGCAATTTGTTTTAAAAAAGGCATGTTTGACATTATCTTTTTTTTTATATTTAGTGGGCATTTGGGCTGTTTAGTGTCAATAGTGCACCTATTAAAGCAGATAGGCGTAAGAACTGTGTGGCTAATATTCACACTAACCATGTTGTTGCACATAGAAGTAACAGCAGTGTTCCTAAAGCACAAACTGAGTGTTTTACACATCAGACAAGAACCTGATGGTGTTCCTGTCATCATTAAGAACGACACTTTGTGATGACTTATTTAATATGTCACTAAATAAATAAATGATTTCACATTACATTTATTTTAATCATATTTTAAAAACCTTTGACATAGTCAGAGTGACAGATTTTGCATGTCGGCAGCATCAGTGCTCAGCATGTTGTACCTATTGAAACCACATTCTTCAAGATGATACTAACACGTTTAGATTTCTAGTTTGAGGCAACAAACATCCCCGATTCTCTCCAACATCATCACATCATCCAGCCGTGTGAGAGACAGCCTTGATTTGTGGAATATTTTCTGAAGCTCAGTAAGACTCAGACTCGTTTTGAGCCCGCTGACCAGTCAGTCGTCTCTGAGGTCATGTGCTTGAGTTTGTAAAGATTTTTTAAAAAACTCAACTTTCACAACTCAGACGGGTCAGGGACCAGAGAAAATCACCTGCCCTCAATTTAAATCACAAAAACATGCAGTCATTGTACCTTTCTGGCCTTCTCCAACATGTTTTATACTGAGATGAAAAAGTTAGATAAGCCTGGTTACTGCTGTGTTGAATGCAGGATGTTTTTGCTTTTTGAAATATAGATATATTTTCCGAGATTTTTTAAGCTAATAGGTTTATGTGCCTCCTCACAGTGGAATAGTTTGGGTTTGTGTAACTTTATGTTTCTCTGCAAACTATGTTCATGTGCGTCTTTTGGAAGAAGAAGAAGAAGAAGAAGAAGAAGAAGAAGAAGAAAAAGTATTTACTTGCCCTGATTCAGATTGGTCCACGAAGAACTTTTTTGAAAATGGTTCCTCAAAGAACCTATTTGTTGCTAAAGTCCTTTGGAGCGCCACGTGTGTGCCACCTTGTGCTGGTTCTGTTTTGTTGTAGAACCTCTGCTCTTTGTACAATGAAAAATGTTTCTTCAGTGCTTACAGCTTGCACGTCTATTTTCTGGAGTTATTTCCTGTAGTTTTACTGATACATACGTTTCATTTAAAAACAAAAAGACAGAGTATTAAATTAAATATTCGGGTAGAAAACAGTTTTTGGAGAACATTAATTTAACAGGAGTACATCATCATATTTACTCTAAAAAGTCATTCAGTAACCTGTTTGCAACACTTAATTAAATGCATGGTTGCACAATAGAAAGTCAAATGTGGTTGATTCAGTTGCTGACATTGTTTTGATTGTTCACATAATCATGTCGGTAATTACACTAACCTAATATTGTGTGTAATTTAAACTTAAATATCTGCATTCATTGGTTTAAGAACAAAATGTAAGCAGTAGTAAATAAATTATATGGACTTTTGTTTTTTCTCTACCCTGAGTTCAAGATTTTAAGTCATTAAAAACTCAAAAACGTGGGTCGAAGCTATCACTAATTAAATATTTCTTCATTGAAAATTCCACTGATTGTGTCAGATTGACTAATTCCTTTGATTTAATATAGTTTGTTGGTTCAACATAATTTCATTAGAAGTCGTCATAACTAAGATGAGTCTTGTCTTTAAAGTGTTCGGCTGTGGATCAATAGACGTGTCACTGCTACTGGGATCAATTCAAAATAAACTCCCGCTCCCACCATATAATGCTAATAAAGAACATGTCACCTAGTTTAACCGTCACTGTGCTTTTGCTAGTTTCTTGGTTGCTTCAGTAAAGGTAAAGGTCAGATTAGATCAACCAGACGCACTCTGAAGAATCGATTCATTGTTGGTTGTGAGATTTCTTCACATTCAGAAAACACGTGGAAAATCATATGTTCAGATCACAATGCCCGACACTGTAAACTTATTATCCCTCAGCGAGAGTGTTGCAAAGCCCTGCAATTTGGAGACCAACAAAGGGCGGCGTGATCCGAAGCTCCGCCTCGACAACTTCAGAACAAACATGGAGGCCACCAGAATGTTAAGTGCTGCCTTGTCTAACATTAACTCCATTTTCAAAGGTCAGGACCACAGTCGAGGCGGTGATGAATCGAGCGCTTCATTCCTTCGCTTATAAACCCCCCCTTTCTATCTCTATCTGTCTTTATGGACGGTGGTCTAATCCCTGCCTCCCCTCCTCACCTCCTCCTCCTCCTCCTCCTCCTCCGTTTCCTGTATTTCTCCCTCATTTCTGCCGTTTCCTCCCCCCCTCCCCTCCCCTCTTTCTGTGGTTTTCTCTGGCCACTTAATGGAATGCATGGCATTTCCTCCCTCCCTCCATCCTCCCCCCCCCCCAGTCGGTTCTTCTTCTCCTCCCTCCATCCTCCTCTCCCTCCATCCTCTCTCTCTCTCCCCCGCCTTCTCTAATGAAATGTAAACTTTGACATTTGTCAACTTAGTCCTCCTATCAACAATTTGCAGCGTCCGGGGGTGGAGGCTTTACTGTAGCGTGGCGTCTCCGGGCTAAAGCAGCACTCGCGGCGAGCCCTGACCCCTCACCCTGTTCCCTCGCTCTTTTGTTTATTTGATTTTTCTTTCATTCTCTTTCCACTGCTTCATCTCCTCCTCTCTCTCTCTCTCTCTCCTCCTTCCTCTGCCTCCTTTGTGCTTTTTCTTTCCTTTTACTTTTGTTGTACTTTGTCTCTTTTCATTCCCCTTCTGTGTTGCTTCATAATCTCCTTTTCTTTCTTCACCCACTCTCTCCTTCTGTCTCCCTTTAATTCAATTCTCTGCAGACTGATAATCTGCTTTTTCTTTTCTCCCTCTCTCTCTCTCTCTCTCCCTCTCCTCTGAGCAGCCTCATTCTCTTACACTCCTTCTTTCATTCTCCAAGTTCATTGATAAGGTCTTTTGCCCTTTTTCTCGCCCCCCTCATGTTTCATATTCCAGTCCTCACAGCTTGAATCAATAGCAGTTTCGCAGCTAATTCCACTGCTCTGCATCAATACCCAAAGGCTCCAGTCTCCTCCATCAACCCCCCTCTCCTCCTCCACCACCACCACCACCACCACCACCACCCTTCTCCTGCCTGCCTACTATGAATATTCAAATGCGTATTATAATAAAGTGGTTTTTCTAAATGCATTAGCACGCAGAGGAGAGAGGAGGGGTCTGTCCAAAATGAGAATTTCACCATTTTCAGGGATGTGACAAACACATTTGCGGCACGACTCACATGAAACAAAGGAGAAGATGCTTTACGAGGGACGACAGGCTACTTTGGCTTCATTTATATCCTCTGACTTGCGGACTTAAGATGCTTTTTCAACATGACGATCCAGTTTTGTCGGTAGAAACTAATGGAGAGGCAGAACAAAGCAAGCAAGCAAAGATTTGAACAGTGTAAAAAAATTAAATATGTTAGTTTGAAAGCAAAGCTGGGTTTTCTTTGTCCAAACAGATTCTAGGTTTTGATTTATTTTCATCATTTCTTCCTTATTTTCAATGAAAACTTCTGAAACAACCAGCATGAACCACTGCAGCCAAAGAGTTTCTTTCTTTCCTTCTTTCTTTCTTTCTTTCTTCTCCCCCTCTTCTCTTTTTTATCCTCACATTTTTCCTCCCTCCTTCCATCCTTTCTATTCATCTCTCCCCAGCAAATCCAAAAGTTGTGTCGCCATAGCAACAGCTGCCGTCTGCGAAAATTACCTAAATCCCTCCCTTTTTTTTTTCTTTTTTTTTTCTCTTTTTGTAATACACTGTGTGTTCCCGGTGACATTCAATAGATACTGTTTTGATGTGGGAACAAACAAATGAGTTAGGGTGGTTGAAAAAAGAAAAAAAAAAAATCTAAATAAAGCAGAGAGAGAGAGAGAGAGAGAGAGAGAGAGAGAGAGAGGTTGATGTTGTGGAGCGAAGCAGCAGAGCAGAAAGAGGAGAGAGGAGGGATTAGAGGTGGAAAAGCCTGGTGGCCAGACAGGCAGCCAGTGAGCCGGAGAGTAAAAGAGAGAAAAAAAAAAAAGAAAGACGGAAAGCAAACACAGACTGGGATGGACGCTGGTTTAAAAAAAAAAAAAGCAGCACAGACAGATACATAAAACACAAATAAACAAACAAACAAAGAGTAAACAAAGGGGGAGGCAAGCCAAGGGCACGCAAACGCCCGGCAGACAGGCAAACAGACAGACTGACCCAGCGAGACGGGGCGGCATGTGAAACAGGTAGGAGAGGAGACAGACATGTGTCGCCATGGTAACACCGAAACCAGTGGGGAGGACGGGGGGGGGAGAGTTGAGGGGTGGTTGGGGGGGGATATAGGAAGCATGCCGTCCCCATGGTAACACAAACGGAGGGATCCTGAGAGAGGGGAAGCGAGGCCGACACACATGCGTGAAGAAAAAACCACACACACACACAAAAGAAACACATTAAGAAAGTGGGAAACCTTCATATCCCAGCATCCCTCCCTCCGTCTCCGCAGCTTGATCCGCATCGCCGCGTTCCTATGATGCGCCCGCGAGAAGCCCGAGCCGCCTTCTATGTGGCCAATTAGTGCCTCCAACATGCCATTTTATGATTCCCAGACTTTGCCAGCGAGCAGCAGTTTTATCTTCCCGCGATGAAGGAGGCATGTAGTTGCAGGAGAACCCCTGATGGATGGTGTAAATTATTACAGCTTGCAGCATTATTCTTGGTTGGACGGCGCACAAGGCAATCTGTTGTCTTATCATGTGTGTGAGACGAGGCCAGTTTCCAGCATCATGGACCGAGCCAATTCGGCAAAGACAATCGCGTTCAATTGAGATAAAGCCTCGGTGGAAATCACGGAGCTGGAAAACTTCCCCAGAACACTTATCAGACGTTAGTAATTACTCTTCAGCAAACACGCCAGCAGATTTTGCAACTATTGTACCACTTAATCAGAGCATTGTGAAAGCAAAAGGGCTCGTGGCAGAATGTGACGAAATGAGTCAAGTTGCTTGACCTGAATGCGCTGCTGACTACAGCAACTGTCATTGCCAAGAAAAAAAAGAGTCACCAAACAGAGCCGGAGGATTTACACTGAGCGCTAGTAGCAGCAGCGGGGTCTCAATGAGCCCACTGTCATTGAACAGAGCAGAGCGCAGCATGGGAAACAGCACAGAGGGCTCGCAGACACTAACAACTAACCAGCTACTCCTGTTGGCGCATTCTGTTTTCAAAGCTTGTCAGGAGCAGCTGCGGCTCAGCTCACAGGATCTAAAAGGAAGTAGTTTGTGTGTGTGTGTGTGTGTGTTTGTGCATAAATGCTTTTGGACAATAAAAGTGAAAATTGCCACAAAAGCTGTTTTGCTTTTAAACAACACGCTGACTGACAGACTCCATCAGTATTCACGTTGCTCGTGCGCTCTTCACCTCACAGACTGTTAGCGCAGGTATCATTGAAAATTCCCCCCTTTCCCGGGCATATTTACCATTGTGTTGGGTCATTAATGCAGGCTCAACTCATAATTACTATATTTTCAACAGCACTTTAAGGCAGCGTAATTGCAGTGTGCAGCAGATGGCTGTTGGCTAACTGGCTTGCAGTTACGCCTAATGGCTATTTGCTATCGGTGTAAAACAGGCTAATGGTTCGCTGGCCAGCAGCTATAGCTTAAAATAGACAGCTGTCCTGTGTGGGCTAAAGCCAGAATCGAAATGACTATGTGCTCCTCATTATCTGCTGCTGTGAATTCACCACATAATAATGGACCATAAAAGCAAAAATGATAAACATTTTTTTCCCCCTCCGTCTGATGTCTGAGTGCACTGAAGCTAAACCCCCCAAAAAAGGTTAATTTATGCAGAAAAAAAACTGGACCGTGTTCATTTCTAATCATCATGGCCGATCCTCTTGAAAAATAATTATCCTTGTGCAGTTTAGTATAACAAATGTAAATCGCTAAAGATATAGCGTAACCGCTGTTCAAAGCTGCGTGGATGTTTATAGGCAGTAATCTCCACAAACGACATTCGTGCTGTTTTTTTGTCAGCAATTTTATCTTCCGACTTAATAGGGGGGAAAAAAAGAGACGGGGGGAGACGGAGAATGTATATTCCCTTTCAAACAAGGAGACTAATTACAAGGGATTAAGTAATTGCGTGGGGAATAGTCAGGAAATCTTTCTCCAAAACCTTTTGTTCCAAACCCCATTAATTTCAGCCAGCTCCGTCTAGCGGGCCGACTTTATGAGGAGCTGTTTCAAAAGGACTAAATCTACAAGATTTTTTTTTTTCTTTTTCTGTGCTGTTAAGAAAACAGCAGTTTCACGAAGGCGGAGGCTCAGAAAGCTTCAGACTCAATCGAGGCTGAAAAGTCATGCACCCACACTCCAACTTTACAGAGAAGGCACTTTGTGTTGGAAGGGAAAAAGTTTGATAAAAGTACACTGTCTTTTTAATAATTCAGAACGTAATCATTCTTACACTGCTGGTGGCTTTTGTGAAAAATTGCAAAAAAAAAAAGTTGGTATCACTTCTTTATGAGACAGTTTCCAGAGTCAAATCTACAAGACAGGAGCACGAGGAATCCATGCTGAATATCTGCACTCAAATGTGTTCAAATGAGAGATTTCAGCAGGAATATAAGAACTACCTGGATGTGTTTTTGATCCTCTGTCCTGCTGTAACCTGGAGTTTTAACAGTGACGCCCAAAAACTCTCTCTTCTCTTTTAGAATAATTTGTACGGGTATAAAAAAAAACAAAGCTCTTAATTCACTGATCAATCGAGTGAGCGAGGACTTAAGTGATTCAGCAGCACCTCAAGCTGCTTTTGTATTGATAGAAGCCTGTTAGGGCGGTTCAAGCACCTGGAACTGAAGAATGAATACTTAAAGAGGTTACTGAGGCGAAGGACCTTCACTCCGACCACCAGGAGCAGGACGACACAGGACCAGCTGATTAATGTGGCCGCGTGACTACGTCATTCTTCACAGCAATAGTGTGTAAAACATACTACCTACACTATAAATAGGAGACAATGTTGTAACTGTTACTATAATCCTTTGAGGAGTTTGCTGTCATTTCATTGATTTCCCTGGTTTTGTTAAATTACAGAAACTAACAAGTCACAGTTTAAAAAAAAAAAAAAAAAAAAAGTATTAATTTATTAACCGTAATTTCTATTTAATTATTTTTTACATTTTATTTTTCTGAAATCTTCAATGATAAAGTTACACTTTTTTTTTACACTGTATTTTATTTGGAAAAAATCATTTATTTACAGATACGTGGAGTTTTTTGAATGACTTTTTTATGAACTGAAAAATTGTAAATCACATCGTTGTTTTTTTTTGTTTTTTTTAATTTTACAGATTTTCCCAATTTTTATTAAATTACATATTACCAATAGTAAAATCACACCAAAAACTAAAATTTAAAAAAAAAAAAAAAAAAGCGTCCTTTACACAAAAAAGAAGAACATCCACAGCAAAAATCTGTATTTTAGCAAATGGTAATTTATTTATTTAATTATTTATTTATTTACTTTTACGTTTGAATGAAAAAATGTTTTATTTTTACTGTATTTTTTCTGCAAAGTTATTTTTATTTTATACATATATACACATATAGACATATATCTTCAAGATAGATTGAAAAAAATGTTAAAAATAACTCAATTAAACTGGTATTTTACAGATTCTTCGTGTTTTGTTAAATTACAGACAATAACTAATAAAGTCACAAAACAGAATCACATTTAACATAAAAAACAAAACAACAAACAGACCACAACTGTAAAAAGACAGCATAAAAAAAAATGTATTTTGACTTTAATATTACACTTGGTTTTTTTTTTAAACTGTATTTAATCAGCAAAAATAGCATTTTTTTAAACAGATATTTGCCCTTATTTGAAAGAAAAAAAATGTTTATATTAAGGGTTAAACAATATTTATTTTTTAACTGTTATTTTATGGATTTTCCACCAATAGCATTTTGTAAAATTACAGGTAATCACATTAATTTACATAAACCTAAATCATATCCTAAATGGGGCGTCCCTCATCAGCCTGGTGATGGAGGAGAGCCTTTAAACATGTAAGAGGGTCGTATTTAGACTCAAACATGACGCTGACCAACAAATCTGACCAAGTAGTTTTGGTATCTAAACTCATCCAAACTTTGTGTCAATCAAAGTTCAATGTTTTCAATCAATCTAACCAAACATCGTGTAAAGTTGAGTCGAAGAATAACGGTGCCATCTTGTTGTGTCATAGTTTAAAAAACAACTTTCTTTCAAAACTTAAACGAGAATGTCGTCTAGTTGCACAGGAATGTAATTTTGTTGTGTACTACAAGCAGCAAATAACACAATCCTACTGCATGTGACAAGCCTACTAGGAGAAGAAGTAAAGTAAATGAATATCCATATTCAAACCAGAGGAAGATCTGCTACTCTTCTGTTTTGCTAAAAAAACAAAATTCACAAAACTACAAAAAAAGACGCACTGAAATGTGGATTTGTTGATGCAGCCTGCCGCCTATTTATCCAGAATTTTACTCAGGAATGTGTGCGATCTCAGTCGGTCTGCACGCTGGTACTACAGACACTAACATTTCCATACTATTAGTGTGCAGGATGAAGAGTTTGGACTCTCTCTTTCCCCACACGACCTCTTCTGCTACTTTGGATCACCGTGTAGCTTCAGTGCTTTCGGGGAAACAGATCAAGGCCTCTGTGGTCGGAGCTGTCTGAACTCTGGGACTCCCAATCAATCCTCTCCCGCTCGCTCTGCCTCCCCCCCTGTGTTTCTCATTGCTCACTCGCCCTCTCTACACAGTGATGGAGGTCATGTGTGGTCAAGAGCTGAGAATGGACAATCAGGCAGCAGCCATATACCCACTGTTATCTCTGCAGCTCATATCTGTCTCTCTCTCTGCAGGCTCCATACAGTGCAGCTATACTACCCAGCTCTGCCTGTCTTTATCTCCCATTTGTAGTTGTAAGCAGCAGGGCTCAGCGATCTAATTGCGATTTTTCTGTCAGATATTGCAATTTGATTTGCGATATATACATTTTTTTTTTTTTTTTAGCAACATCAAGCCTCAGCTCTATATTCACTGTGTAATAGAATTAAAACGACACGGAGCATTACCGTGTGAGATAACATCAGAAGCGTGGCTGTCACACAAGCAGCATGAAATCGTAAAACCACTGACATAACAGTTCTGATTTGGATGCATTGCATAACATATATCCTCAGCTGCCACCTTTGAGCTGCTGAGTGTGTCGTCTTTAACGGTGAATTTGCTTTGAAAATGTGTAATTGTTCAGAAATAATGAGCAGCATAGCAAACTTTTTAGTGCAAGAAATCTTTATTTGAAGTAATTTGCTTATGTTTCTGCTTTTTGACCCGTTAGTCATGTGGCCAGCTCCCCACTGCTCAGGCTCAATGCAGGAATCCTGTTGGTTTTGTCTATGGTTTGTTTGAACGCTGCAATTTTACTATGAGAACAGGACTTGTGGTGTTCTGTACAACAATGACCAGAGCTACAGCTGTTGACAGTCACTAAAAAACCTCCAAACAGTAGACTGGCTACTTGTTAAGCCACAGTTTACACTTGTTAAACAGAGAAGATGTGATGTGTGGCTGTAGAGGATTTGGAGCCTTTGACAGAACTGGGCTGAGTAACAGAAAGCAATGGAATGAGAAGTCTAACCATTTATTTACTGTTAAGTAACAGGCTTTCAAAGCAGGAAGAGCCACTGGCTACTGGAGTATTTTTCCCTGCTATGAAATCCAACTTCAAAAAGTTCATATCCTCAGTGATCCTGAATATGAAAACACAGGAGGTTTAGATTTCAATATATTTAAAAATGTTTTTTGATGTTTTTTTTTGTGAGCTTTTTCATCGAGCATCGCAATGCAATGTTCTGCTTGGAAACCTTGAGTCTTGGCATTCACGTAGCTGTCCCCTTGACACGTACCTAAACGTACTTGCAGACCCCTCCATGAGAAAACTCAATAACAGTAACCTTCCATCGTAAAGCCCGTGTACCACACTGCTAAAGAGACGGCCGGAGGGACATGACAAAGAGCTAAAAGTGTTGCTACAACCTCCAAACTCAACAGATTCCAATTTGATCAAGTGTCCATGTGGTTTGCTGGAACAGGTTCAAACCCAAAGGACCCAAAAGATCTGAAGAGTTCATTTTCAAACACATATAACTCCATCTTCATAACCCTTTAGGAAACCCACGTTTCCATCGTCTACCTGAGACAACATCAGTCAAACTTATGTTATCTCTCAAGCAAACAACAACAACAACAACAGAAGTTTTCTGAAAATCTACAACAATGGAGTTATCTGTTTTTGCAAATGAACTCTTCATCTGTCCCAGTGCCAAACATCTCCTCTTGTGTCCAGGACGGAGGTGTGATCGTGGCATGAGAGGAAGATGCACAATGTTCAGCAGGTGTTTGATCTGTACTCTGGTATCCAGGAGTCTCAGCCGCCTTTACTAAGGGGAGAAGCTGCCATTGTGAGCTGTGAAACAACTGTTGGGGCAAATTTTGACAGTTTGGTTGGGAACATAACACAACGCAATACTTGAGGAATTCTTATTAATTTGATGCACTTCATAAGAAATGTGTTGTCACAGTGGAGAATCTTTTGATTGCATTGATTATTTAGTTTTAAAAGTGCTTGAGTTGACCACCTAACAGTGTTTTTCAGGACGCAGGGCACAAGTTGCTGCCCAAAGGAGTTAAAGTATTGGGATCCTGTTTACAAGCGACGGAAAAATGGAGGGTGAGATGGACGGACAGATTGGTGAAGTTTCAGCAAACAGAAAACCAGAACTCTCTGGAGGGATACCTCATTTAGGCGAGGAAATAACTCAGGATCCCCCAGAGGGAGCCGGAAATGGTTCGGGAGAGCCACATCTGGAATGACCTGCTAAGATTGGATGAATCCAGGATGTTAAAAACAACTCCTCTCACTTTTTTAATGAGTAATTCATCACATTTTTGTAATTAATTTGCAAAGAAATGTTGCTAAGCGCTTCCTCAAAGGGAATCCAAAGGAAACATTGGATTTTCTGGGTTTCTTTCACTTTAATACATGCATTGCCTTGAGATGACATTTGCTTTGAAACGGCACTATTTAACTAAAACTAACTAAAAATAAATTAACTAAGTAGAAAGAGTTTTAAAAAATAAAAAATCCTCAGTTTTGACAATTTTCTCTTTTACTCTGATGCATGACTGATGTTAGAAATGAGTGGCAGTGCAAGTGGGACTACAGCATCTATTAGAGGTCATTGATTATAGCGATTTAGAAAGACGGCTTTTGGTCAACAGGCTTTCTCAGTTGAAGTTGAATTTCATCTTAATAAACATGAAAGACTCACGAAGCTTTGCAGAATTTGGAACCAGCCTCACAGTTTGGCTAAAGTCAGAACAAAATGTCCAATGATTGTCTTTTATTTGTTGCATTTACTGATTCTATTTATCACACATCTGTTTTATGGAGTGCATCAAGGGGACTTTGATTGTAAGATTGCATTTTTTTAAACATAGTCCCCTTTAACTTAAATGGTCCATCACTGTTCAAGGGCTGGGTTTCTAATGCCATCTTTAGCCTCCATATACGTCTGTATGTATGATTCTATTTATCTCACACTGATGGACTTTAAGGTGTATGTAGTGTACTTATTGTTCAGTGGTGGGATTTTAAATTGCCCCAATAAAACAAAACTCAGTCGTAAAAATCAGATTTAATTCATCTACACTTGACTTTTCTTCCTTTGCTTATCTTTTACCTTTTTTCCCC